AAGGGAGCAAACCTAGAGAGAACAAACTTGTGAGTTACAAATAGAAGGGCTTTGAGGGTGTTGCTTTCAGTTTTACTGGGGGGGAGGGTGGCAGAAGGTGGCCTAGGTAACATTGGATACCCTAGGCATTCTTTTTTTTTTTTTCTCCTTCACCACCCAGGAGTCAATCTGGGGACAATGGCACAAATGGGGACTGAAGAGCTCACCCTGAGGGCTGCGACAGCTCACCCCGAGCCGAGGGCAGCCCGCCCTGGGCAGAGGGCCGGCGACAGCTCGCCCCGAGCCGGGGGCCAAGGGCAGCCCGCCCCGGGCAGAGGGCCACGATGGCTCACCCTGAGCCGGGGGCCGAGGGCAGCCTGCCCCTGGGGTATTATCATTTCTAAAGATTATTTTATCCTCAGGTTTTCTATGTGGAACTTCTGTTTTGGACAAAGATGGAGTGAGTGCTGCCGTGGTTGCTGCTGAAATGGCATCTTATCTTGAAACCAAGAATATAACATTGAGACAACAACTGATTAAGGTTTATGAACAGTAAGTTTTATTATTATGGATTTTATATGCTAGAATTTTCCATTTTTTGCCCAATGTTTAGCTTTCTAAATTTATTTTTGAGGATAGTAACTCCATTAAAAGAAATATTAAAACTGTCTGAATTAAAGGCTGACACATTGTATTGATAGGCATATCTTTATATATCTTTTAAAGAATTATCTGAAATTTTATTTTAACACTTCAAATATTTATGCAGATATGGGCATCATATTTCCAAAACATCGTATTTCTTATGTTACGACCCACCTACCATCAAACGAATATTTGAAAGACTTCGCAATTTTGATTCTCCAAAAGAATATCCGAAATTTTGTGGGGCATTTGTTATACTGCATATACGGGACATTACCACTGGATATGATAGCAGCCAACCTAATAAGAAATCAGTAAGTACCTATCTTTTGAAGAATTTTTTATTTTTTAATTATTTTTTTAAAATTTTATTATTTTTGTGTGTGTACTGTCAAAGTGGATCTGACTGGTACAGGAGGAGGTTGTCCCTCCTTCTCCAGCAGAACATCTGGTGAATTCGAACCGTGAACCTCTGGAACTGTAGTGCAGCTTCCTGCCACTAGGCCACCAGAGCTCCCTTTAAAGAATTTTTAACATGAATTCTTTTTTAAAAAAATACTTCATTTTGTTGTTAAGTACCTTCAAGCCACTTGAGACTCATAGAGACAATAGCTCTAAACCCTACTCTATTCTGTGGCAACCTTATTGTCTCACCTACCACCATTCCCACAGTCACTGAGTCAGTCCATCTCAATTAGGGTCTTCCTCTCTTGCACTGTCCCTCCACTATTCCAAGCATGATGTGCCTCACCAATGACTGGTCTCTCCTTGCAACATGCCCAAATTTTGTCAGATGGAGCTTCAGAATCCTTGGAACTTTGAATCCTTCAGCTTCCAAGGAGCACCCTGGTTTCACCCTCTCCAGGTTGGGCATGTATGTATATTTTTATGCTAAATAATTATAAAAGAAAAAGATTTTATGAAAATAAAATCTAAAAGCCTGTCATTTTAAAGCTATTTACCTTTCTAATGTTAACATCTTTTGTTAATCTTATTCCCTATATCTCTGGCCAAATAGAACAGCTTATAGTTTCTTACATACTTTCATGTTTTGTTTTTCATTTCTATTTTTCATTTTTGCTGAGTTGTTCTCTCAGTTGACCTTTTCTTTCTACTGCTGCAGGTCCTTACCTCAGAGTTACTCAAGACCCAAGTCAAATGTCACCTCCTTTATATAACCTTCAGATCCCATCAGATACCTTCCTCCTAATGTTTCATTACATAATGAGCCTCCTTCCTAAAATTATTATTTTTGTCTTATATTATCCTTGTTGAACATAATAGATTCATTTCTGAACCACTTTTAATCCTTTCAAAGCTCCTGCATACATATAAGGTAGTCCATACATATTTAAATATCATAGATTGCTGAGTATATTCATTTTGTTGTTCTGATTATATTATTAGCCTAATAGCCAACACTAAACTAATACTCCAGCCTAGTACTTCCAATGTGGTCTCCAGATTCCAAGGGCGTAATATGTTGTGGAAGATTGTCCATTTTGTGTCTTCATCAGTTTGTGTAGTCAACAAATACTGGTTCTTAGTTGGTGATATTTTGTCTATGTATACATGTGTCTCTTTTTCTAGTCTTGTAAATAGGTGTGAATTAAAACTTTTCTGGGCTCGGGAGGGCATGTGTACTTAAGATATAACATGACAAAAGCACTGTTTTTGGACTCAAGAAACATTCTAGTGGGAATATGGACAAATAAATAGCAATTGTTTTACAGTATGGTAGTGCTAACAGGAAATTTATCAAATGCCATGAAAGCACTTAGGAAAGACCCCAAGTTCAGTTTTGGGAGTTTAGGGAAGATGTTGTAGAGAACTCTTCTGAGCTGAATTCCAGAGTATGATGAGGAGTTATCCATATGTAGGAGGAACAGATGGCACTTCAAATAAAGGGAGCAGCAAGTCCATGATGTGGAAGTGAGAAGGCATATCTCCTTTAGAGAACCAAAAGTGTTGTGATGTAAGGAAGAACTGCATGGATTGAAGAAAGAGAAATTTAATCCACCAGATGTCTGCTGGAGAAGGAGGAACAATCTCCTGTACCAGTCAGATCCAATTTGACAGTACACACACACAAAATAATAATAAAAAAAGAAGAAAGATAAATTTGTAGGCAATTTATATGTCATTTTAGCAATCGAAATGAAAAGAATGGCAGTTTGAATTTAGCATAGGGGCAGGAACAGTGCAGAAAACTGGACAAAGTTGAATTAAATAAAGGCTAGAAGAGACAGAGCCAATTGGGTTGATGGCCTGGTGAGTGAGCAGAGTGGGGGAGGGATCTCTGTCTTAAGCAGCTAGTGTACAATAGTGCACCTAATGGAGAGAAGGGTGTCATGGAAAGGACCACAACTCAAGACACCTGAGTTAAAGCACTGTTGTCAACAAGGATAGTGGAGTTCTCTGAGGACACTGTGACAGACTGAGGACCAGGGAGAATACTAATAATGGCAATTCAATTAGCAAATACCAGTAGAGCTTACATTCTTAATTTTTGGGTTAAATAATAAATTATATGTTTGCACTCCAGTAGTTTTATTTCAAATATTCCCTAGGGTGTATGCACTCCAATTTGGAGACCACTATCACTAAAAATGATTTGAAATTGTAAAGCACCTTTCAAATATGAAGTTATTTGGGCTTTGGAGCAGAAAGATCTGGCTTCCTCCACTGCTTACCATGTGCCCCTTGGCTGAAAGCCTTGAGCAAATAGTTTACTCTCTGAGTCTTATCTTTACTTTCCATGATTATTGCTGAGGCCCAGAGACCATATATGTATAGTATGTAATCCATTTAACATACTACTATAAATATTCATTAAATGGTATATTTATAAATATTCATATTTATATAGTGAATACAAGTAATCTTGTATTTTATAATTCTTAAAAATGCAAAAAGATACCAGGTGTAATCAATTGTTCTTGTAATTGTGCTTAGGTGCTGCCTGTGAGTAAAAACAGCCAAATGATTACATTTACTTTTCAAAATGGTTGTGTTGCTACCCTTCGGACAAGTGGGACAGAACCAAAGATCAAGTATTATGCAGAGATGTGTGCATCACCTGACCAGAGGTAAGAATTGATGTGTGTGTTTGTGAGTGAATAAGCTTGACATACATGTTCTGAATGTAATTGTCATACATATACACTCAGAGTGTATTGAGGTGTATTTGGAATGCCATACAGTTCACCCACTTAAAGTATATAATTTAATCTACTGTGAGGTGAGCATGGCAAGGCACTGGCATCAGACTACAAAACAGTCTTTTATTATTGGAGATCAAAATTCATATTCACACTGTTTAAATGTTAAAGTTCAAATCTGTAGATTTCAAGCTTTTGCCTTTAGTGAGTGGTTTTGAGGAGGAAATTTGATCACCCCTCAGACTTTGAGGAGCTTCTGAATAGGTGGCATCTGAAAATGTTTTTGAAGGGTATTGTCTGAGCAGGTTTGTAGATCTTCAGAGAGAGTCAGAGAGACATTTTTGGTCTGTTTTCTTCTCTAAAAATGAGTGTGAAATCATGGATTTATATACATCAAGTACTGTCATATTCAACTATAATGGGTATGTTTTATTACCCGTTTAAGAATTATTGTATGGCATATTCTGTTTTCTTCTTTTATATCATATTTTATTGCCAATTAGGGAATTGTTTTAAGATGCATTTATATTTGTGCTTACTGCATTTTTTGCTTTGCCTTTATTTCCTTTTCTTTTTAGATTTTAATGAAAGTTTATAAAAGAACTTGGATTTCCATTCATTCGTTCTTGCACATTTTCTTCCCTGTCCTCCCATCCCCCACCCCCAGTTCACTTTTTCTTTTTAAAAAAGTTCTTTCATTGTTATACAGTCCACTCCCCCACGCCAGGCCACTTCACTATGCAACTCCTATTCTGCACTCTTGTTATGTCAATAACACTTAATCATATGTTCCTTTTATTCAGTTCTCTCCCTCGTCTGTTTCAATGCTGTGTACATATTTATCCCCTCTTTATTTTTCACTTAGCTTCACATCAGTCCTGTTCTGTAACAGTGGCATTATGCAGTCAAGTTAAGGAATTAAAAATTATGGAATTGTATGGTTAAAAGAAAAGTATACAATAATGGTTTTCAGTATATTTGTAGAGCAAACATTGTTTGCAACAATCCTTACAATCCATTTTAGAATAATTAAAACTTTTACCTCAGATAGAAATCTCATGCTCATTAACCATCAGTTCTCATCCTCCTTCCCCTGCCTGTCCCTAGACAACTATCATTCCTCTTTCTATAGATTTGTCTATTCTGTCTATTTCATATAAATGACATCATACAATATTTTTACTTTTAGACTCATTTCTCTTGCTTAGAATAATGTCTCCATAGTTCATCCATGTTGTGGTGTGTATGAGTACCTCCTTTTGTTTTATTTACAATACTATATGATTGTATGAATTTGTTGTTGTTAAGTGCCATTGAGTCGCAGGCGACTCATAGCGACCCTAAGAAGGAGAGTCTTCAACGCTTGGGTGTCTCTAGTCCTTTCTTGAGGTTCATAGGGTTTCCAGAGGCAAGCTATTATGGAAGTGGATGCCATTCCTCTTTCCAATTGTATGAATAAACATTATTTTAATTATTAATTAATCAGTTGATGGACATTTGGGTTGTTTCAGCTTTTTTTACTATTGGGAATAATGCTACTATAAACATTCATGTATAAGTTTCTTTGTAGATACGTTTTCATTTCTCTTTAAAATCTAGGAGAATTTCTGGGTCATATAATAATTTGATGTTTAACTTTGTTTAACTAGACCATTTACTAAAGCTACTGGACCATTTGAGAAATTACTTTTAAATTTAATTGAATACATATTGACAAAATATTCTGTGCATAATTTTGAGCTGTTAAATTTATTTCAACAATGTATACAAACTTTCTAAGTAAACCAGTATAAAAATTTTTTTAAAAGCCATCCAAATAAAGAACAAAGTATAAATTGACTAACTTAACTTTAAAAAGCATATTTGTTCATTGCTTACACATACTAAAAATTGTTGTTGTTATGTATGTGCTGTCAAGTTGGAACTGAGTCTTAGCCGACCCTCTGGTGGGTTTTCAAAGGCTGTAAATCACATGAGAAGAGACTGTTCATCTTTCTCCCAAAAATCAACTGGTGGATTCAAACCACATGCCTTTGGGTTGGTAACACAACTGTTTACCAGTAGACCACTGTGGTGGTGGTGTTGGTGGTGTTGTCAAGTACCTTCGAGTCAGACCGACCCATAGTTGACCTTCCAGTGGGTTTTCTGAGGCAGTAAGTTGTATGAGAGTTGACTGCCTTTCTTTTTCCCATGGAACAACTGGTAGATTCGAACTGCATGCCTTTAGGTTGACAGCCCAGCTCCCTACCACAAGACCACTAGAGCTCCCTGTATTAAAAGTAGTATCTCCTATGTCATTGGCCAAAATATATTTGAGAAGAAGTTTTTTTTAATTGTCCAAGGAATATTATTTTGTATTTTTCTAAATCTTTGCATTTTAAGAGTAGATTTTATTTTTCTTTTTTCCAGGAAGGGAAATATGGGAGGAGACTTATTAAAGTCATTTAGAATAAATTTGAGTAATATAACATAGGTAGCCCCCAACTTATAACAGATCCTAGTTATATTGAACCAAACTTATAGTCATCCTTTATTTTTGCAGTTTTTTGCTTTATATCTTATTAGTAATATGTACTACTACAGTGTTGCAAGCTATAATTTGCTAGTATTATTATTCTCATGCCAAACCCCAAAGACAAATAAAGATTGCATTTGTAGATACTCAAAGATGCAAACTCAATGCCTTCAAGTCAGTTCTAACATACAGAAGCCCTTTGGCCCTAGTGGAGGAGGAGCAGACAAGCCAAAGGCAGGCAGGTGAATCTCACACTTGCTCTGAGGGAGAAAGATGAGCAGTACCCTCCTGTGTGATTTATAGTCTCCAAAAGCCCGCTGGAGGATCAGCTATGAGTGCATTCCAATATGATGGCACATAACAACAACAGTAATGTGCCACCAGAACTTAAATATACTGATAGTAAAAGGCAATAATAGTGAAAACTTTTTTAAATGAACTTATGTCATGACTGAATTATGATTAAATCATTGGAATGGAATCCATTATAAGTTTGGGGCTACCCATACTTGATTAAAAATGAAAATTTTATTTGCTTTTTGTTGTTGTTAGTTGCCACTGAGTCGAGGATGACTCACTATGAATAGCTAACCTGAACCCTGCCCTCCCTACCTCGTGCCATCCTCATCATGGTGGCACCATCCATAAGATGCTGCCTTTCTAACCAAAAGGCTGCAAATCTCCTGCAGTTCAAATCCATCAGGCCCTCCTCAGGAGAAAGATGGGCAGTCTTCCTTTTGTAAATTTTTTTTTAATCAAACTGGATTCTGATTCATAGTGACTCATCAGGTTTCCAAGCCTGTAAATCACAGTGGAAGGAGATTGCCCATCTTTCTCCCTCTGAATTGCTGATGGATTTAAACTGCCAGAGAAGGTTGGCCTTTGGGTTAGCAGTGCAGCTCAGTACCGACAACACCAGCAGAGCTGTCATGAAGGTTTACGGCCTCAGAAACCCAGTCGAGGGCTGTCGGGAGAGAAATAAACTCAAAGACAGTCAATGATAGTGCTACATTACAGGAACAGTACTCTGTAAAGAAATAGAGGATGGTATGAAAGGGTTAAAAAGTAACTTCTTTTTTAGCTTGCCAAATAACTGTGAAGTCAGTTTGAAAAAAGATTTTCCTAGAATTGTTTTAGATAACAGCTCCTCAGCTCCTCAGGTGATGGCTTTGGGTTTTTTGTGTTTGTTTTTGTTTTTTATTACCTTTAAACATTGTTCCGTTTAATAACACCTATCTCTGCTCTCACAATAAGGGATATACCTTTAACTTGCTGGTCTGTCTGATACTTCTCTAAATCTGAACATTCACATTAAGACAGACTAGGAAGAAGGATTGGCCATCCACTTCTGAAATAGCAGGCCTCTGAAAACCCTATGTACAACAGAACACATTTAGTTAACAGAAA